CACGAGGATAGATGCCATAAAGGATTCGGGCATCTGGCTCTCCTCAAGCTTGTCGTTCTCACTGCATTACGAGAAATCGGCCCAAAAGGCGTTCGCCATTTTACGGGTGATCCGACGCACCTTCTCTCGTATTACTCGCATGGACTTCCAAACGCTCCATGGGGCCTACGTCAGAGCGCTCCTGGAATACGCCAACCATGTTGTCTACTCAGGACGCACGAAAGACGTCACCCTGATTGAGCGTGTCCAGCGAGCCGCTACGAGAATGGTTGCCGGCCTCAAATCCGTGGACTATGAAGCGCGTCTCGCGATGCTTTATCTCTTTCCCCTGGAGTACCGTCGCCTCCGAGGGGAGCTAATTCTTACTTATGCCCTGTTTGAACGAAGCTTGGCAAACAGGTTTTTCACCGTTGAACCAGCAAACACCCGGCGGGGACATAATGAGAAAATGTTCAGGCTCAGAGCACACACATTCATTAGACAAAATTTTTTCTCATTTCGGGTAGTAGTAGCGTGGAATGACCTTCCTCCGGCGGTTGTTCACGCTCCTTCTAGAATACAGTTTAAAGCACTATTAGACACTTATGCGAATCCTCGCGCTGGCAAGCATACTGCCCCGCGCTGAGAACATAAAGAGCAGTGCTACACCCTTTTTTCACTTGTGCCTTTCGGGTGAACGACGGCCACTGACCGACAAGAACAAAAGCGACCCGGGAAACTTGGGCGATAGCCTCGATCCTGCGTATCAATCCGTGAATCCGTGATGACTTAAAATCATTTCATTTTCCTTACGCATAAATGCATTATTCTAAATATTAGTTTGGCTCAATCCATTTCCTTGAACAAACACCTCTCTTACATGTACAACCAATCCTGCGTATCAATCCGTGAATCCGTGATGACTTAAAATTTCTTCATTTGCCTTACGCATAAATGCGTTATTCTAAATATTAGTTTGGCTCAATCCATTTCCTTGAACAAACAGCTCTCTTACAAAGACTGTGCAACCATCAATCGCCGGTTTGACACATACGCTGGTCAGTTTATGCTATTATTGTTTGACAGCACTGCATAATGTCCCCATTTTTTTGACCAATCAGAATTAGGTTTTCTGTTTCGGTTGCAGCGGGGCCCCCCGAGGAAACTGGTACTCGTCTGCTGGCGTGGTAGGCGCTCTCGCATGTCCCATGATGGAACAGTGCCAGGCTGAGCGCAACCTTCACCTGGCTCGCCGTCAGCAATGTGCGTGCCTTATCCAAGAGCTTGGTTCGCGCCTTCAAACGTGAGTCTTTGATTGAGTAACAAATGTTTTATTCCAATTGAACAAGATAACTCACTGCACAGAATAGTTGCACTGTCCTTGGTAAGATCCTTGGCTTCCCGATAAGTTAACCTGGAATCCCTAACTGTCCATTGACTGCACCGGTGTAATTTGAAATTGAGTTGATGCAAGCGTGACGCCCGTGCTAGTCGTTATCATATTACAAAGGGTCCCGTGCATCGAGTTCAAACAACAATTGTTGCGCGGAAACAAGTAAGAAGCTGCATGTATGTGGACTAGCCGCCATGGATGAGCTGTCCGCTGGGTGGGCATTATGACACCTGGAGTATCCCCTGATGGTTCCATAGCGCCAACTAAACCTGTTTGCCAGAGAAGTCAGTGTAGGAAAAGCAAGTGGAACGGTGAATAGACCTACAAGTACGTATGCTACAAGACCAATTTTCTGTTCACACGCAGCAGTGAAAGTCTCAGTTGAATGCGATTAAAACCCATAAGTGTTCCAGGACAAGTACCACAAACTGCGGTGACTGACTCATGCTGTTTGGCGAACCATTGTCCACCGAGATGATTGTTGTCCCGGTATCCCCGTCAGATTTGTGAAAACTGCTAGGTAAACGGAAATTGACTGTAAGGTATGGCGAAGATTACAAAAAGTGTTGAGGTGGTCTGGCTTCGATGTTGACTCACCCTGTGCTCATCTGCATTCCTGTGATCATTTCCAGTGGCCATCTTGGAGTATAAATACCTCAGTTTAGCTGTATTGTACTAGCACCAGGTCCGATACACGTCCCAAGCCCTCTTTCAACCATTGGGGCTTTGAAGACAAATGAAATCTTTGATTATTCGCTAATGAGTCATTACTAGGGGTGAGATGGCTCAGTGGTTAGCGCGAATTTACTGACCGGAAGGGCCGTGGTTCGAACCTGACCTCTGCCTCTCGACTTCCCCTGTCTAGGCTTGGTCAACCTGGCAGTATCCCAGCCCTCCTGCTTCCGTGTGGCATGGTAGTTTGTCCCCCAATGAGTGCTACAGCTGAACGAGTGAGCCATTATTTTAATGGGTGGCATGACAGCTAGGCGCCGAGAGGGTATTACAGCTGAACGATTTCACTTTTCATCAGTTTCATCACGCGTCGCAGTAATCACTACGACCATCATTTTCTGTAGTATCTGTTTATACCCCGGATTTTCGGTTAGCACATGCAGCACGTGACCAAACCAGCGCAACCTACGCAGCGTGATCAGTTCATCTGTCGTTGCCAAGCTATTTCTTCCAGAGACCCCTCAACCTACTTCAGCATTGCTAATTCGGTGTGTTTGTGTAATCCTTTCGAAGTCTGGTGACTGTCGATGTACCCCACTGTGAGGGCATTTCCTTCACCTGTAGGTTTTGTCAGGTGGGCAATCAAATACTCTCAACGTTAATTGAAGTGATCTGGATACAAGCCATCTGGTCCGGCTCCCTTCTCGCTTTATAGGAGGGATCTCTTTTACTTTATCTCCTGACGAGTTCCCATTCCGTTCGCCCCCATGTGCTATCTCCAGGGACTTTATTACAGGAGGCCTGCTAAACCGTCTCTCGAAGTTCTCGGCTCATCTTTCCAATCGGCATTTTTGCGAATGAATTACTAGGTCATCTTTTTCACTTATCATCTCTATGGCAGTTACTTTCCTTTGGTTAATTGATCTAATTGGGTGGTATAGGGAGAGGTGTTCCAGGTGGCAACTGCGCTCTCCATCTGTGTCTTTCCTTCAACTCTTCACTGTTTGTGGGATTTGTGTGTTTCTTCGTGCCCGCTGCCTACTGATATAGGTTTCCTAGAGTCAATAAGGACTAACAATCTTAACGATATCCAATAGTCATTTGCTTGTATCGGAGAGGTAGGCCAGACAGCTTCTAACGTCGCTAGCATAACTCCCTTTACATGCTGTCGTGCTTCATTTATACGCTGGTTACCAGTACCGCTTGGTGTTTCTGCTACCTCGTTATAGTGTTTGTGTTTGACTGTTCATTTCCCCCAAAAACTTAGTAGGTACACTGAAGAGAGCTACCACAACCTGACGGTGTCAGTCGAGGTAAAAAAAAGTCGGCAATCAGTTAATGTAATACTAATCAGGAGCTCCTGGGTATGGTATGGCCACGCCTGGAAGCAACTACAGCGACGTCCTTCAAAGCTACTTTTCCTACTTCAGCACGATTGAAGGATTGCTGGATATCATTAACACCAGCGATCCTGAGTGATTCCAGGTTGATTGTGCCAGTCACTTACTGCGATAACACCAAGGTTCCTCAAATAACAGGTGGCGGGGAATCTATGGTAACAACTAAAGCCCTGCTAAATAGCGGGCGCTCAAGAGATTGGGACTTGCACTGTCAAAAATACCAATAATCCAATTCGACTGATGATTAAAGAGATCACTGTCAGAAAAACGGCAAATGGAAAAACAGTCCAGCAATTTATTAGCGACATTTTTGTGTCTATTCTGACAAAGGTTTAGGGTGCCACTCGGCTGACTTGCGGCGCAAACCCATGGACAACAGTGACAGCTTAACTGTAATAAATCTGAGTCTTTGAAAACTCTTGTTGCATCAGCCTTACGTCATTCGAGGTGCTTTGTACTCGTACTCTGCGTATATCCACTGAACATGGGGACAGACATCTTTTGAGAGAGAGCATTCATCGACGACATCTTTAATCCGACAGAATCTTAAGCACGGTACCGCTTCTAATAACCGAAATGGATGTCCCCTCGAATTGAAGGCTTTCCTCTACTCTGTTTATCGCCGGGCCCTGTGTTATTATTTGTCGCGCAAGAGTGTCTTCCTTAAGTTCGTGGTCTCCTGAAGGCCTATCTCGCCAACCCCCATGGACTCTGAAGTATCCATTGTAAACCCGATCCTAGGTTCGTCAGTCCAGTTTAGTTACTCGGCTATAAGCGACGCACATTGGTTCTGTCTGTTACAGTTTTGGTCACCAAAAATTGTAAGACAATGGAAGGCACACTCTGACATCGGAGGCAGTAGCCTAATGAATTGCTTGATTTTGAGTTATTCTGGTTACTCAACGAAGCGGGAAACCAGGCAGCTGTGTATTGAAAGCTGCAGCTTTGATGCCGCAGCGTCACTGGCTGCGTGACTGAGTCATCACCCGATCCAGGGAGACAGCCTTGTCAAACTGATTGACATAACCGCTTTAGCGCCCTCACGCTATGTTGCCAGATTGTAGACTGTCCGATCGTTTCCACTAAGCATATGGCGGGGAAAGGGGACAATGCGAATTAGACGGCCCTGGCATGCCAATTACGTATCCTAACCAGCGCAACATACGAGGGGTGGTTAGGCCTTCCGTCGCAGATGCGTTTTGCCTTGAAATTGTCCGGCGTATCTCAGCCATCGTCATCGACAGCATAACTTCAGTGTTCAACACCGTTGCTTCGCTGCCGTACAACAATGATTTATTTGAAAGCCTTGTTCTGAAGAAAAGAACAAAGGTGGATGGGGAAGGGCCTTAGTGCTGGCTTACTACAATAATTCCGGGAGACCTACACATCCGAACACTCATTCAGGCAATCTGGATGGAAACTGAAAACAAGATCGCCACTGACATCGGTTGGCAGTCATATCTTGTAGTGTCCCCAACCAGGTTTAGTGGGGATCATGCGGTTCCTATCATGGAAGGTAAGTAGTACCAAGAGCACCAAACATTTCGTGATTTCTTTCATACCCCTCTGTCAGGTCAAGGGTTGGATACCTGTCTGTTTACGTCACTCTTAATTGGGCATGGAAAACAGCACTCTTTTCGGCAAACGATGGATAGGCACACTCAACGCATGTCCCAACCAACGCAGATTCTGGTGCTAGGCACATTATTCAATTCAATTACCTGTTGCACAACCGAAAACGCGCTTTCTAACTGCCTCGTTACGGATTCGCCAACACCAACCCACACGAGCTATGGTTCTGAGATAACGATTGTCGAACACCTGGAGACATCTCGTTTTCGCTGCCCGAACAGGCCAAGTCTCACAGCCATACAACAAAACAGCCCGCACTGTAGCTTGATGCACACGTCC